ATGGGATTGCATATTTGTAAGAAAGTTTTTGTTCTGCTGATGACCATTATTAACTTACAATCTGTTCTTATAAAAAGTAACAACCGTTCTGTTTAATCTTATTTCATTACTTTTAAGCTTAGATACCGCTATATATAAACATGTGTCAGAGCACGGAACTGAACTTTTGAATCAAACAATTGACCTTGAGAACTTTACAAGCCTACTCGATGGTGTCGAGTCGCGGATTCGCAGCGTTTACAACGAGGTCGAGAAGATAAAACAGCGTCTTACGAAACCCTATGACTCCCTACGGTCTCACGTCACGCGCATTCGCCGTCTTGGTTTGATATGTGACTCGCTTCGTAAAATACAGCGTATATCTACTTATATTCGACGTCTACAGCGTACGTTCGTGTTTTATTTTGATTCTTCACCCACCTTTTAGAGGCACCGAATGACTTGTCCAAAGCATCAGAAGCCCTCAGCGAACTAAAGTATGCTTTTGCCTCAATGGACTGGCAGGGTATCGATCTGCTTGAAAAGTACCATGTTGTGATGATGAAGGAACGTAGCAGGGTTGAGACACATGCTTGGCAGTTGGTTCGCTCGTCTTCCGATGTTGGCGATCAAGCTCGTCTAGGATTGGGTTTACAGGTTCGTTTGCATTCCCTTCCCATCAGCTAGCTTCGAAGGTCACCGAAGTAACATGTTCTTTTCACCCCACTAACATTCATATGGGACTTGTAGCTGTCCTGTCTATTCTTTGACTTGGTTGCTGAACTCTTACTTAGTCGAATGGGGCGGTCCGTTATCTTGTTGCATAACCTGACAATGTTTTAAAGGGAGAACAGACGGATGACATTGACCAAGAAGTTGAGTACTTCGCCTTCATTATAATGGGAAGTGCCTAGAGGAAAATTCCTGACTCACAGAAGCGTCCGCTCACACCAACTGGCATCCTTATTGCATACAATTTTGTTGGCACTTCTATAATCCTCGACCCCAATATTGTGTTTATGAGTTTATAATTACTGTGAGTTATATTAAATTATCATTCGATTCAACGTCCGCAGTCCGCGGGCATGCAAGATCCTCGCGGCCCCTTCGGGTTCATTTTTGCTGTCATTTGCTACTACAACCAGATCCCATTCAGCTTTTGTGGTATTTGTCCTAGTAATTTAATATAAAATAAACAAGCCTTGTCTGATTGGCTTCGTGGACAAATCCCCTCTTCGGGTATCGGCAATCCAATTTGAATAATCACAGAGTGCACTTTGGTTTATTTTTCGTACCGCTTCTCAGAGTAAATTGGTCTTTCTTTCCAAGTAAAACGCGACATTAGGATGCTTATCTTTTTTGTAGGTCTTTGACAGGCTGTCATTATTGCCCAAGACAGTGGAAGTTCTTATTTCCGAACGACAGGTGAAGATCGAACGTGCCGTCCAGGCATCGGTTGATGTTGACGAACTGACAAAGCGAGCAAGAAACAAGACAGCGTCCGTGTCAGCCACGTCCTCTAACCCTGGTCAGTTTTCCGATGCAAAAATTTATCCTTTTTATTCAACATTCGGCGCTGATACCTGGAGACTTTCGTGACAGTTAGACTCGTTTTAAGCCGGCCTTTTTAGTCGGGGAGGATGCAGGTGTGCAGCGTTCTCGGTGACAGCGAACCAAATTCTAGAGTCATTTTCACGTCAATAATTGAAAACGGTGATAAAATCACGGCAGTTAACGACTTGGGTACGGACCGACGAGTGCTAATCGCAGCGTTAGAAGCAAGTGTCAGGAAGAAGTTCAGAAATAGAAGATGCGATCGCTGAGACAAAAAGTGACATTTCGGATTCTTGCTCTAATCTATCATCACAGGCAACTCTTAATCACTCGTTTCTATAGTTGTCTGATGACGGGTTCTAGCCAGAATCTGAAATGTCAGGCTAATAAAGTTCTTGTTCCAGTGATCACATCTTCTAATTCTGATCAACGTACCAACTACAACCCCTAGCGATGAATACAATCACTATCAAATGTAATAGGCGTGCAATTGACTGGAAACCGCGTCCCATAAGTACAGTAGATTGTATATCTAATGAAATGTGAAGATCAGAATTTTAGTGGGTGATTTAATACATATTTGAGGTTGTTTATTTTGTTCGTTGAGTTGACTTGAGGTACAAACTGGAGTTTACTAGAAAAAAGCTCAGTTCAGATCAGTATACTGGGGACCAAAAAGGGCGGAATGGGACCAAATCCAACGTTCGTTGATATCCAAGGAATTTCCTACGCTATTAAAGGCTGCGGAAAGAACTTCTTGTTTGTGCGTGTTGTAGTATAAAAGGCCAATAATAAAAAGCAGAAGCTTTTTAATTATATATGCTCAGAGAACAGACTATTTTGTTTTGCTTTCATGAAACTGAGGTAAGTCTGGCAATGAAATAACGCATTATTGCTGGGAAATGAAGAGCGAAGTAAGTTTTAAAAAATTCTATTGTGCAAATCTGGTAAGTCTTGTGACATAAAATGAAGTAATAACCTTAAGGCTGTAATTTGCTTTACCTCACCGCAAATAACGACCGCAAACAAGCTTATATACAAACCCCAAAGACATGCCGTCAATTTTCTCTGTCAAGCCGTATGCGAAAGGCGTCCAAACATTTCTCTCATCTGTAGAGCAACATCAAGGAATAGAAAAACTTGAAATGAAACGGACAGAAGATTATTAGTTTTCTGAAAATTTTCGTTGATATTCTGTCACTCTGCTCTGCACTTGTTATCTTAGAAGTGAACCTAGGTGTAAACAAATATACAGGAAACTGCTCAGGGATACGTAGAAAAGTTAGTTCTTTCATTTTCCGCAGAAGATGTATCCCTAATTTTTAGGGAAGTCAAAAAACTGACCAAAATTTCCCATTCTGATCTTGACTTAATCTTTCAAAAAAATAAGGTACGCAGACATTTGACGCCGAAATCTATAATTAAAGCGCTTATTCAAGAGGTAACTTGTTATAGAGATTTTTAATCAACCTTAGGCATGTTCATTCACGACTTTTGTTGTAGACGCTCATTTTTCTCGGCAATGAGTTGACATGTTTGGGTGATTCTGAAACCATGCCCAAACAGACAACTGCATTAGAATGTCTAAAAGCTCGTCCTTTAGTTAAATGCTTTTAAGAAATATCTTATTTTGCAGGTCTTGGTAAGCACATAGAATAAAATCATTATTTATTGCCAATCGACTGAGGCCAGTGAAAATCGTAAAGTCTTAATTACCATTTCAAGGAAGATCTGAACCTCTTCGCAATGAAAATATCAAAATAATTTTTAAAAATGTGGCGGAAGGCAATTACTCTTAGTGTACAAAAGATGGTACGTTTACAATTCTACCTGACAATTCCATTTAAATTTGTTAGTCACTAACCGGCATATCCGCACATGAGCTTAAGAAATATCTTACTTCTGTGATCTCCCCGGGGGCAAAATCAAGCGAAAATGTAAGTGCCTTAGTCCAACGTAACTCATGCAATGTATAAACGGAAGAAACGACTAGTAATTCTCGTGAAAACGTGTTCGAATACATACTCGAGATTAGGATTGTTCGGTAACAGCCATACCTTACATTGCATAGTGTGTATATAGTACGCCCGATTTTCACTTTTTCGAAATGTTCCCTTTTGCTTAACAAGTTGGTATTTCTAAAAAACGGTATATTCCTGGATAAATCGCAATATGCCCTATTCTGAAGAGCGACCATTACTTTATTCAGAAGAAGTTTCGACCACTGGAACAAGAATTTTATTTTCTGACGTTTCGGATTCCGTCGAGACTCCTTAATCATAGGTAATGGTAGTTTAGTCTGAGTCATGCACAGATAAGGGTAAGAGTTTGGGAGCCGCAGCTTCGGTTGCGTTTGAGTAACAGGGAGTTACTTGTAAAAATC